ATGAAAGTAGTCTTTATCCCTCATGATGGACGAACACCAACATACATCAATCTAAATTCCAATGCCGATGGTACCAGTAATTGTTTGATTGTACATCCGTCTCGCCTTTCCCTTGAGTGTCGAGCGTCGGCCAGATCCCCTGGTAATTCCTCGCAGCCTCATTCTCCTCAGTACCAACTCCCAACTAGCTAGTTTGGTCTAACAACAGACAGCTTATGTAACCGCGCTCCCGGAAGTAATCCATCAGTCAATCAATTAACCAACCAATCAATCAATCAGCATGTCTTTTACACAACGTCGCTCTTATCATGTCAAAAATAAAGTAGAGTAAAGATCCCCGCACACGCCTTTTCGTCGCATTAGGCATTTGGAAAGAGCGCCCAATTGGCACTAGGTGGGTAATGTTGTCAACATTACGCCGGCCGTCTTTACTTCCCCAGAACATACTACCTAGTACCCATATGAGGCTGGGTCGACCTGCGACGCCCCATGCCATGATAAAAATCCACGCAGCCAGCAGTGGGTTTCGATCGCGGTAGGATGGAATTACGAGTCGGACTCGCAACGCCTAAGCCACGGACGCCATTTCGCTCATCACGGCACGCCTGCTGTGTATCGTTGGTCATCGTGTTGTGTCCACAGCGTTTTGACACATGGCATCAAACTCATGTAACAAGTCGTTTGCAGAACGTCGCTCTCACCACTGTCTGCCTGAAAGAAACTTGGTCTCTCGCCAGCTCTTCCGCCTCATGCATTTTCATACCCAGGGAGCCAAGTAAATCATGTGCCTATCTTCGTGCTGGTAGACCCCTACCTCTACTTCCTGGAACTTTCTGCTAATATTATTATTATTTCCACTCTGCCATGGCGCTTGATATGTCCAAAATATGTCAGCTTGCGAGACAAGATGGTGTTTATCAGCCAATTTTCCTTGATGTTCTGCTTTGCGTTCACCGGCTGTAAACTCTTGTGGAAAGTTCTGGATGTTCGTCCACTTATGGACTGCAGTCCTGTTTCAGAACCTGAGTGTTGCGTGTGCATCCGTTTGACTCATCTGACACATTTGTGTGCAGATTATTGGTTCCTTGCCTCTCAGGCAGATGCACTCCGACTTCAAAGGAAGCTCCAAATTAGTCGACTCTTACGACATGCTTTTGGGTAGACAGTGGGTCTATTCTTGTTTTCTTCTTCCTGTCTCACTACGGTCTGAGGAGAATGGCACTGCGAGGAGTTACCAGGGTATCTGGCGGACGCTCAACACTCAAGCAAATGGCGAGACCGATAAACAATCAGACAGTTACTGGTGCCATAGGAATTGGAACTCTTCGTTTGTTGCTAAAGATGGGGACGGGTCGCTTACGGATGTGTCCCGACTGCTAAGATGTCGATTCTTAATTCAACATTTAACACTCTTTCTGTCTCATGTACTGTCAATAATTTGTCATGCTTGTACATGACCCCATGCCTTGATGTCTAATATCATCTCCACCGATGCCCCCTCTCTTTCCTTCCAACTTACTGTGGCTACGGTGTACTTGATTTTACTTGTTCTGAAAAGGGCGAAAACACATCACCTGGGCCCGACGTGGCTGGATATTCCCACATGAAACAAATGAGTGATGCAGACCTGGTGGTGATGACTGCTTGTGTCAACCAGATGAAGCGGATCAACTGCTTCTGGTGAGAGTAATCTGTTCTTTTTATGATGTATGTATGCTTCGGACATTAGAAACTCGCTTCCTGCGCGCAGAGTGGCAAGCATCACTTGAAAAGACGCAGATCAGGAGCATATCTTGGATATTCTGTCCAAGAAATTCAGGTGTGAGAGGTAATGAGCAGGCTGAAAGATTGGCTGCTGCTGCTCCTCAGAGCAGTGAGCTACTTTATGATAAAGTGGACCTGGCGAAGGCTCACTAATCCAACGGGGCTGAATGGAGGTTCTTAAAGATATTCAGCACTTGAGAGTAGGCCGACTTTTAATTAGGTTGTAACAAATGGTATTTTAGCGTGTCGACTGTTCGTTGGCTACTGAAGAAGGAGACAGATCACGTGTGGGAATATCTTTAGTGCAGTGATGTGAATTCTCGATTGATTGATTTTATTCATTTAATCATTGGGATTTTATCTTTGATCCACATTAGGCGGCATTTTTGTCGCTCTTTTTACAACATATGCAGAAGAGACAGAGCACGGAACCTATGGCCGTAGCTGCCAGTCCAGCATAGGAGATGTAGTGCTTGATTTTCTGGTTTCCCACACTAACGACGATCAGTTTCATAGAAGCGATTCGAACTGTTTTCTTCCAGCAGCTGTTAAATAATCAATACCTGTTAATTTGTTTGTCACGCTGATTAAATGGCTTCGGGGTTTCCAAATTATTTAATTATGTTTGTTTCTATACCATCTTCTTCTATCTTGAAAGTAATCTGTTATGCTTCCTGAACCGTTTCATCATCATCAAGAATGCATCTTCTTATCTTCTTCTTCTTCTTCTAGTCTTCTTCTTCCTCTTCTTCCTCTTCTCTTTCTTCTGAGGATCTTCTTCTTCTCTTCTTCTTTCTTCTTCTTCTTCTTCTTCTTCTTCTTCTCTTCTTCTTTCTTCTTCTTCTTCTTCTTATTCTTCTTCTTCTTCTTCTTCTTCTTCTAAGATTCTTCTTCTTTCTCCTCCCCTCCTCCTCCCCCTCTTCTTCTTCTTTCTTCTCTTTTTCTTCTTCTTCTTCTCTTCTATCTTCTCTTCTTCTTCTTCTTCTTCTTCTTCTTTCTTCTTCTTCTTCTCTTCTTCTCCTCTCTTCTTATCCTTCTTCTTCTTCTTCTTCTTCTTCTTCTTCTTCTTCTTCTTCTTCTTCTTCTTCTTCTTCTTCTTCTTCTTCTAATTCTTCTTCTTCATATTCTAATTCTTCTTTTCTTTTTCTGCGTTGTTTTTTAAGAGTTCAGTTGATGCACTCTGCTGTGGTGTACAGCTAGGCTGCAATATCTGAACCTTTCGTCAGCCAGTAACATCCGATTTCAACAAATCCTCATATGACATGCATGTTATATATTGCCCTCCTCCGGAACCGACTAGGGGAAAAACTCAGTATTGAATTATTCACTTGTGGGTTCCAGTATCTCATACTATAGGGGGAGATGAGTGGTTTCAAGACATGGCGTCCGCCTCGAGTGCTGGGGATCCCGGGTTCAGGTCCCGGTGAAGGCTGGGATTTTTTTACACGTGGACTTGTATAAATTTCCCTGGCCTCTGGGTAGTAAGATCAGACGCCCGTGTGCATTGTTGTGCACGTTAAAAAACAACTTTGGCAGTTGAATGTCGAAAAAAAATAGCATAACAGCACTACCGGGGGAAAATTTATGGTTAAAATCTATACAAAGTATTTAAGGATTCTCGTCGGTGCTACGGAGTTCATGCTCTGCGCTAACATTCTTCGGACTAGAGTTAGAAGTAGAACGGAGAACTTATAGGTTACTATCCCTGTACCATAATATTGATCCGTCGTCTAAACTTAAACCATTTTGGTGGTTGGAAAGGAAAGGGAGGAGGAGGAGGGAGCGGGGTGTAGACCGATATGGTAAACTAATTAGAGGGGTTTCCTTTCAAGTCGTAGTGCGTATGCTTGAGAGGCAAGAAAGAACAGTCCTTTTAAACAAAAACCAAATCTGTAAAACTGAGGTACACACAACTCAAGTTCTGGATCAAGATTATGCCTGTAAAACTGAGGTACACACAACTCAAGTTCTGGATCAAGATTATGCTTGTAAAACTGTCATAGACTCACACATATTGATGCAGACATACATACAACCATGTGTACAAACACTCTTATATATCTGAGCATGCAAAAACGCACACACACTCTCACAAACACACACACATACACACACATACACTGAGTATACTTACGCTGATGCATACCCGAACAGACACAAATACCCGTCACACACGAAAACAACTAACCCTACATACAAAACACACACGAAAACAACTAACCCTACATACAAAACACACACGAAAACAACTAACCCTACATACAAAACACACACGAAAACAACTAACCCTACATACAAAACACACACGAAAACAACTACCCTACATACAAAACACACACGAAAAAACAACTACCCTACATACAAAACACACACGCAAACAACTAACCCTACATACAAAACACACACGAAAAACAACTAACCCTACATACAAAACCACACACGAAAACAACTACCCCTACATACAAAAACACACGAAAACAAACTAAACCATACATACAAAACACACACGAAAACAACTAACCCTACATACAAAACACACACGAAAACAACTAACCCTACATACAAAACAAACACGAAAACAACTACCCCTACATACAAAACACACACGAAAACAACTAACCCTACATACAAAACACACATAAAAACATATACATGCATCTACGCCTACATATACACACCCTCATACATACCTATTCATACACACACTTTATTCTGCTTCACGAAAAAAAAAAAAAATACACACACTCATATCATGTATATCACACACACACAATCATTTGTACTTTTTACAAAAACTTATCTAATCATGAAATGATTTTTGATTCTAGATTAACTAAATCAAAGATGCCACATAATCACTGGAAATGCATGAACTGAAAAAAAGTCTGTCTGGGTTAGATAAATAGTTACTTTTTGCAGTTTTTCAGATCGACTGGAAGATCGTTCCATAAATAAGAGTGTGCTAAACATGTTTTAAATAAATAAATTCTAGTCCTAGGCAAAAGTAATAAGCTTAGTAGCTTGCTATTTGTAGGATTGGTTTGAATCAACCGTAAAATGTAATTTATAATATTCTGTGATAGGATTTTATGAATGAATTTGGAAATGTTTAAAATTAAACGTTTTTTCTCAATGGCTAAAATCCTAGACGTATAAAATATTTTTTTTTTCTGATGTAATGTTTATCGCAGACGAGGCGAAAGGCCCGATTTTGTAGAGAACACAGTCATTTAACATTAAATAAGAAGCAACCAGGAATATACAGCGAGCGCTTTGTGATATGAAATGGCAAAAAAGGATAATGAATGAACGAATAAATAAATGAATGAATGAATGAATGAAACAGAAACAACTTGCTTGTAGACATCCGTGTCACTCAGCAGCAGTGGCTTGAAGTGAAGTCTGCTAAGACTATCCACCCACACCCGGCCTTTGGTCTGTTTCTTGATATCAATAGGATCCACCTCGCTTTCCCCTCTAGCCCAGTGTATCATGTTTGCCTCATGTTGTCTGAAAGTATCAAACAATCCCAGAATATACGTGGATACTTTTTTCCCAGTTTGGGATCATTAGTATTTTTTAAAACTCGGGGTTTAGGAAGAATAGTAATGGTGAGCATACACGATGTAAAGAAGTGTGTTAGCAGGGCATGAAAAATTTGTTTCAAGGCTAAAAGAGCAATCAAAATAACACAAACCACACGAGTCCCCATTTTGTTTTTCTGAAGACTACCTAGTTCCCCCTCCCCCCGGTCGTGGGACCTAGGCTGCAATTTCTTGTGGGAAGTAGGTGGGTTGAGTTAGGGCCAGTTCTAGATGTTTTGGGCTCGTTATAGGCACCAGAAAGCAGGGAGACCCAGTCTTACCACCCTCTTAAATGTTGGACTGTCTTATGACGTCATCTGGGGTACGATATTAATAAAGCACCCTTTTCTCCAAGGGAGCTTGTCTTGTTAGTCAAACTCGCCCCCCCCCCCCCCCACGTCTCTCTATCAACGCCATCTTTATCATCATTGTTATCATCAGCATTGTGCATTGTGGCTGGCGTGGGCGATCATGCCCCTCCACAATCTGCAATCTTCAGTAGGACGAATCAGTTTATATGCTGACATCACTTCAAGACAAAAACAAAGGCTATCAATTGTAGTCCTTGGTTGTCTTCGTCTGCCTCTTTTCCAGTGGTCGCAACATGTTCCAGTTTTCATTTTCTGATAACATGACCACAAAAATGTTTTTGATGTGTGTGGTAAGTTATCTTTGAGCCCTCGACTCGTTCAAAACATCTAGGTGGGCGCCTTGCCTCTCAGGCAGATGCACTTAAACTTTGAAGGAAGTATCCCTAATTGGTCGGCTTTTACGACATATTTGTTGGGGGGAGAGGGAGGGGCTATAGGACTATTCTCTCCACGACCCTGCATCAAATAGGACCAGGAAAACTACACGGGAAGGATTTGCACACTGCCTGACAATTTGTCAGGCCCTTTCAGGCTCAGAAATGCTAGATTGCTTGGATGTGAGGCGGTGAGGGGGTGGGTGGGGGGGGGGGGCTGCGGGGTCTCGAGGCATGGCGTCCGCCTTGATTGCTGGAGGTCCCAGGTTCAGGCCCCGGCGAAGACTGGGATTATTTTCATGTGGACTTCTAGTAATTTTTCCTGATCTGTGGGTAGTAAGATCGGACGCCTGTGTGTGTTGTTGCGGTCTCTGAGTGGTAAGATCAGACGCCCGTGTGTTGTTGCGGTCTCTGGGTAGTAAGATCGGACGCCCGTGTGTGTTGTTGTGGTCTCTGGGTAGTAAGATCGGACGCCCGTGTGTGTTGTTGCGGTCTCTGTGTAGTAAGTTTGGGCGCCCGTGTGTGTTTTTGCGCGTAAAATATCTTGGCAGTTGGAAATCAAAAAGAGCAGCCTAACGGCGCTGTCTGGGAAAAATTTAGAGTTAAAAATCTTCCCAAAATACTTCAGGATCCTCGCCGGTTCTACGGAGTTCGTGCACTGCACTGAGGTTAACAGACTCAGGCTTGATTTAGAAGTAGGCCAGAGCACTTATGGGTTACTACTCTTGTGCCATGATGTTGATCTGTCGTCCAAACCTTAAACCTCAAACAGTTGGATGCGAGGTACACCGAAATAACGCAAAACATCATCATCATCCTCAGGTGCCTTGCCGACTGGCAAGGGCGATCATGCTTCTCCACAATCCGCGATCTCCTGCATGTATCAGTTCGTGTGCTGACACACCTCCATGCCATGCAACAAGACTATCAAGAATCTTCTCTCGTTGTCTTCCTCTATTCCTCCTTCCACAGATCTTTCAAGTGTTCACAACATGTTCCATTTCCCCTCTTCTCATAACATAGCCGAAACATGATGACTGTCTCCTTCCGATGTCTGTGATAAGTTATCTTCGGTCTTCCGCAATAACACAGGAACTCAAAAAGTTTGACAGTACTTACGTGGGACAGTTCAGCAGCAGATGCGAATTTTCATTTTCGTAGAGAACTTTTCTTTTCACCAACGACGGTAACTGGGGTTGATCTTTCATGGAATGGAAACCGGCGTCTACCACCTCCACCACGTTTCCCGATTCGTCGGTAACTGGCAGGTGAAAGTTCCGAACACAATATTTTAGTTAGATGTTACTTTCTATAGTCCTTGACTAGGTGACTGATCCAATTGTTCCAATCGTTTCTTTCTTTCTTTCTTTCTTTCTTTCTTTCTTTCTTTCTTTCTTTCTTTCTTTCTTTCTTTCTTTCTTTCTTTCTTTCTTTCTTTCTTTCTTTCTTTCTTTCTTTCTTTCTTTCTTTCTTCTTTATTTTCTTTCTTTCTTTCTTTCTTTCTTTCTTTCTTTCTTTCTTTCTTTCTTTCTTTCTTTCTTTCTTTCTTTCTTTCTTTCTTTCTTTCTTTCTTTCTTTCTTTCTTTCTTTCCTTCTTTCTTTCTTTCTTTCTTTCTTTCTTTCTTTCTTTCTTTCTTTCTTTATATCATCCATTCTTTCTTTCCCTTCTTTCTGTCATTCTTTTTAACCCTTTCTTATTTTCTAGCTTTTATTCTATCTATCTTCGATTCTTTCTTTTGTGTTTTTGACACGTGATAAAAAAATAAGCCACTTTAGAACATCGCCATGACCGGGTAGAACAATGGCAAACAAGGTGGCAGCAGACCCGACTAAATAAGAGTAAAAATTTAAAGACAGTAGCACTAGGAAATATTATGACTACAATTCATTCAATTCAACCAGATTTTTGAAAGACAAAGTTGGGTTAGGCTGATAAGCTGCAAATTTATATGCAGACTCCCTTGTTTTCCGTTTCCGATTTTACGGGAAAAATAAATAATTAAAAAGGCAGCCACGCTCAACCTGGTGAGAACAGTGTTGGTTATATCTGTCGTGCGGTTTCTTTGTATGAAGTTTATCTACTAACGTTTATGAAGTTGTGCTAAAATATTTTGTTTTCCCTATCTGGGCGCATTGTTCACCCTTTCATCTAAAGTGTTGCCGTAAACAGGAGGGGGGGGGGGGGGGGGGGTGACTGCAGTCCAGCTGATTGTAAGAAATGCTGAATAGAACATCAAATGTGACTGGAAAGCTCAACGTAGGGAATGGGAAAGATACACACAAACACAACCGAACGTTTTGGTCAAAGTCTTTGTCAACGGAGTATTAAATACAGCACAAACTGTGACCGGAAAAACTAAACGGACTAGACAACAGAGCCAATAAAATAGCAAGGTCAACATGAAACAAAGGAGTGTGTAATTGGAGGGGGGAGGGGGGGTTTAGTTAAACAAATAAACAAGTAAATAAATCAAATTAAATTAAACTGTGTTGAATATTGATCCTTCGAGGATTAACTATGGATCAGACGATTTTCTAATGAGCTGCGACTGGTTTAATCACCGGAGCATGATTTTATAGCAGTGACTGAGATATCGTTTCCGTCTTGATGGTCACAACTGTTGAAATGGAGGGAGACAGGTAATAAGGCACTCAAACTTGTCTCCCCCCACTTCAACAGTTCTGACCACCACAATATCCCGAGTCTGTGGTATCGACTTTTAATTCTACAATCAGCAACTATCAAAACTGATCTGGGAACGTCACATAGTCTGCAAAAGCTCCACAGAAACAATGCATCAGGTGGTCAACTTACTTCGCGAGACTGGTGGGTCAGTAGGACATGGCTCCTGACAAGGGACAAGTATGGTTTCACTTTCTCTATTGCCGATCTCCGACATCTTGCGGATATGACGTGGCAAGGCCGTTGAATGGCAGGGAACTCCTTCCGGGTAGACAGCCATCATTGCATAGTCTCTCGGGAAGACAGGAATGTCCTGGTACATTTTCTGAGGAAAGAGTTGAGTAGCACACATTTGATCGCACACTGCTGTTGTCTTGTTAGGACGTTAAACGAAGACATTAAAATGTACATAACGTGTTTGCACAAGATTATATCGGTTTGGGGACCCAACAGGAGAAAAACTCTTGAAACTCGTTTAAAAGTGGGACGCGTCAGTAGGAAGTCAAAAAGTTAATAGTAATTAATTTTCGTTCAAGAAATATAGTTTTTGGCCGTCAGCAACATTTGGTTTGCAATGTTCTATGTTAATGATATGCAAAATAAAATAATAAATATGTCAATAAAATGAGTTAAACGACTGTCTGGTTCGTTTATTCATTCGTTCACTGATTGGACACATGGTAGGTTTGGTCGATTAGTTCATTAATTAATAAATTAATTAATTGGTAAATTAATTAATTATTTAATTAAATAATTAATTAAATAATTAATTGGTTCATTAATTCATCAACTGGTTAGTTTGTTCATCGATTCATTCACTTATTTGTTAGTTGGTTTGTTCGCTCAATTACTCGTTCATTGATTTGCTAGTTTGTGGCTTCATTCATAGATTTTTTATTTAATTACCTGGTTGGTTGGTTCACCATTAATTTGGTGCTTCGTTCATTCATTCGTTCATGTAACAAGTTAGTTAGTTCGTTCCTTCATTCTATTGTTTATTGATATTTTAGTTGATTTGTTTGTTTATTTATTCGCGCTTTGATTAAGCGACAGGGTGATAATTGTGTTTGATGGCTGGCTAGTTAATTTGTTTGTCTTCTTTCTACTTGTTAGCGTTCACCAGCTGTACGCCCTGCAGGAACTGGTTGAACGTCCACTTCAGGACATTGATCTTGTTCCTCATCTTGAGTTTTGCATATCAAGCGTTTTGCTGATTTGGATTATTTGTATGCAGACGTCGGTTTCTCACCCCTGAAGTAGATGGACCCCGACTTAGAAGAAAAAAAAAAAGGTAAAGTCGGGAGATGTGAACCAGCGTCATTGCACACGGTTATAAACATAAGTGCTCTGCCACCAGTACGGTCAGCTGATAAGAAATTGTCCGCTTGTGTCGCCGTTCGCACGTAACTCTGTAGCTACAGCGACGTTCCTCCACTTACCCCAGAGTGTCGACTCTGGCACCCAGTTCCTAGAGGCTAGGTGAACACCGGGAGCCGCCCTGTTTCGAACACAGACCGTGGCTGCAGCGAGTCGCAGCTGGATTAGAAAGCGAGCCTCTTATTGACTGCACTAACGCAGCCCCTGACTTGGAAGAAAACGCCTCTAACTACTCCACGTTTACGGCATGATTTTAGGGAGGCGGGGGGTCTATTCTCTTTCCTCAAAAAAGTGTCCCGAACCCATATGGGAAAGTTGGTTTCTGAATCTTTTGAAATTTTTTTTGGACTCTTAAATTCTCTCAGCGGGTCTTTTAATCGTTCGCGTACTGCAATGACTTTTTCATGCACATTGGCAGATACTTCAAAACTTTGAGCATTTGATTTGATTCAAGAACCGACATCACAGCACTCGGGGCATTCCCATAAGTGCCCCGTCCCCACCTTCAGCAGCCAGCGAAGAGTTCCGATGCTAATGGTGCCAGTAGCATTCTGATTAAACGTCCGTCCTGCCTTTCCTCTGAGCTTCGAGCATCTGCCAGAACCTCTCGTCACCCTTAACTGCATCAATCTCACCAGACTGTGGTGATCCATCTGCTTCTTCCGCATTGTACACGCTCTCCCACAAGGCACTAACCACATCTGCCTAATCATGCATCAGTATAATCAGTATTCCACCAAGCTGTGCAGAGCCAGATAGTCTGTCCGCCTGTTCATTTCCCAACACACCGGCATCCCCCGGTGAAAAAATCCAGACAATACTCCTTACCCGTGTCTTCCGCAGCGAGTCACATTGACAGATAGTTCAACATTTGGAGCATGAAACACTGAACGCTGGAAACCCCACACAGCTGATCGTTACAAATGTTTAATGGTTTTAACAACTGTTTCTCGACCAGTGTATCTAGAGGCAGAAATGTCTAGGGCGACCAAAATCGGCCACTTCAACAGCACGGATGCAAACATACCTTATACAAGATGACCAACCACGACACTTCCCAAACGTAAGAACTTCGGGTTTACAACTGCTTACATCGACAGTAAAACAACCAGTCTTGACAAGATGTCAGATTAAACAAGATAGCCAAGTTTCCACGAGACTCGCAATCAAATCTTGTGCAGACAGTCCCTCATCAAAGAACCACAAATGAAGTGGTCTGGACACCTAACAAGAATACCCTAGTGATACCACCGCGAGCCACACTAAAACGTTACCACGGGTATAGAGCGAGAGGAAGATCTCGGAAAATATGGAGTGATGGCATTAAGAACAGCCTTATAGAAATGAATATCAGTGTCAATAGTGCTCTTGACAGAGCTTATCAACGAATGATACATCTCCCCCTACACCTCGTTGAGGTACAAGGTGGAAGAGAATAAGAATAAAAAGTTATCTGGAACTAGATTCTTACAGCTCTCACTCTTCATCGTCAAAATCACTGTCCCCGGATCAAAAAGCAAGACTAAATCTTCCCGATCATTCCAAGTTCAAATAATCAGTTTTTCTCTCGGGTTCTCGAACATTCTTACACGTAATTTATGCTTCCCCTCCCCCCTTTAACCCCCTGGACTTCTAGTCTTGTTTCAGAACTTCTGTGTTGAAGGCACCTCTGTTTTACAGATCTGATCTATAATTTAAAACAGATTATTGGTTACCTGCCTCTCAGGCATATGAACTCTAACTTCGAAGGAACTCCTAGTTAGTCGACTCTTACGACATGCTTGTTAAGGAGTCAATGGATGTATTCTTGTTTTCACTAAAAGGGAGCTCTGGAAACGACACAGGAAAGAAGGAAAGATTACTAGGAGATACCACAAAGAACAGTCGAACTCGTATTCTTAATTCAGGTCGCAGCTTCACTACAGTCGGGTCTCCCCATGCTCGCTCCTTTCCCCTGTAAGTGAAAATCTAATGAAATGTCTCCCACTGTCGCATTCGAAACTACTAGAGAATGAACAATTAGTCCCGACACAATCCAGAAATATGCACACGCAGTAAATGCACTTGGCAGTTGCTAGAGGCGTCAAAGCCAACAAATGACACAAGAAATGCAGTCTTTCGTTGATGGATGTAGTCGGCAACAATCAGTTGACTATTCACCCTTAGAATTATTATATAAGGTATATCACCAACCCACACGTAAACAGGCTACCGGCCATGTTGAATACAAGAGCTCAAACGCTGCACAAATAAAAGGCACCCCTAATAAATAAAAATAAAAAAAAAACAGCTTACAGTGCTGCACCAAGCACTAAACTCAGTAGCTCGGGCAACTAAACCATTCAGAAAGAATATTTAGACCGTTTACTACATTGTGATTAAAAATAAAATCGATTAAACGGCAAAAGAATTGTAACAAATATCAACACTTTGATAACACAGGCTACCTTTGCAGAATTCAGTTACAACAATGACTCCTTTTCACGCCTTCAGATGTATTGGGCGGTAGACCTATACATTAAAGACTAATCGGCAGTTGGTGAGTAATGTGGTTAGCATCACGCCAACCGCCTTTACTTCCCAGGACTTTTACCTCGTACCCATTTTAAGGCTGAGCCGACCTGGGAGCCAACGTATTTTCGAAAGAAAAAGTCCAGCACAATCAGTATTTGGACCCACGAACTTTGGATCCAAAGCGAATATCTAGCCGCTACACCACGGCGGCTTCCCAATTATAATAAACAAAGCACCTTTGCCACACTGGGCTTACTTACCTTGACTGTGCACTGTCCGATCCGTGACTTCTCACCTGACCTGTCGCACGTATTGCACTCTCCCCACGCGGCCCACATGGTGAACACCCGAAGGTTGTGCTTCAGCAGGAAAGTTTCAGGCGTCAGCGGCTCGTCCCCTAATCTAAACTGAATTATCCAACAACCAACATGCAATATTCGGTAGTAGCAACGTTTTGATCCGCAAAAAGAGAGTGACTTTCCTTCCCATTCATGCCTCGTGGTTGTTGGATCTCTCCTATGTTGCGCGGGTGTTATAATATGGCTTCTTCGGCGTTTGCTTGTCGTATACAATATTTATGGGAGCTTGTATTGGCAGAATCTCTTTAATGCGACGCAGGCGCCTCGTGTACAAGTAAGAAATACTACAGGGGGAAGGGCTGCACGCGCGACCGTTCATGAGTATAAAAACTGATATGTTTGTGTATTTTTACGTTCGTTGGCGATGTCATAAACCCACCCTTCCCCCCCCCCACCTCCAAGAAAAATAAACGTCTGACAAAGAGCGTAGGAATAAAAACCATCGCAGTTTCCCTATTCCAGAACCGTCACGTAAGTAGCAGAACGCGAAAATAATTACGACAGTGAGCAGTGACAACACAAGGGAAGAGAGAATGGTCGAAATGTTGATTATAAGGAATGCATAACACCCCCGCAACATAGGAGAGGCCATGTGACCCGTCGAGGCATGAATGGAAAGGGAAGTCACTCTCTTTTTGTGCGGACCATTATACTTATTTGGTTAGTTCGACGTTAGTCTCCCCAGACCCCGATCATAAACACTAGCTCACTTTTCATTGGTAGTTCCTGAGCCCGCTTACTTCGCGCAAGGTTACTGGGGTGTTCCGCAATGCCGTTGATATCGCGTATTGTATTTTTCAGCACGCTAGTGCTTTTAAAACTCCAAAAACATGGAGAAAACTGACCCTAACACAACCCCGTAGTGAGTGCTGCAACCTATGTCACAGGCATTTTCTGTCTCGGAATGAAAACGTAAATGCGAAACATCGCAGAAATCAAACAACAGAGCGGGACACACACGTAACCTTTAGGAAAGTCCTCCAGCCCAATAAACTTGTGAATGAAAAGTGACCTTCTCTATTTGGGAAGACTAACGCTGAACTAACTTCTTATTTCAATACCACACTTTATTCAACATCTTTACAATACTCCTATTCCTATATCTATGCATCGCTTCAATTAAAGACTGTATAATGTCCATAATATTATTTCTATGTCTCACTTTAATTAACGTCTATAAAACATGCCTATTTAGATGCCCTAATTTAATTAACATCAGTACAACATTCCTATTTCTCTGCATTACTTAAATTAACGTCTGTTAAATATTCCTATTTATATACCTCACTTTACTTAACGTCTGTAAAATATTCGTATTTCTATGACTCACTTTAATATAACGTCTGTAAAATATTCGTATGTCTATGTCTCACTTTACTTAACGTCTGTAAAATATTCCTATTTCTATGCCTCATTTTAATTAACCTAAGTAAAATATTCATATTTATATGCCTCACTTTACTTAACGTCTGTAAAATATTTCTATTTCTATGCCTCACTTTACTTAACGTCTGTAAAATATTCCCATTTCTATGCCTCACTTTAATTAACGTCTGTAAAATATTCCTATTTATAAACCCCACTTTAATTAACGTCGTTAAAATACTCCCTTTTCCATACCTCACTTTAATTAACGTCTGTAAAATATTCCTATTTTATTTCGGCCTTTGTGACTTATCGGTGATGAACACAGTTTCGTAATTTCTACATAGGTGTGGTGCCCTTGCTTCTTTCATGACGACTGGGTCATATTGTCGTTAGACACAATTTGGAGTTACAAATCTACCCAGAGTATTTTAGGATCCTTGCCGGTGTAACAGAGCTCGTGCACTGCGCTGAGATTCTTCAAACTTAGGCTTGAGTTAGAAGGAGAACGAAGCACTTGCTGTGTAGCACCCGTGTGCCTTATGTTGATCCGTTGAAAAAAAACCAAACCAAACTGATGCTGCTACTGCTGCTGCTATTGCTGTTGCTTCTACTACTTTAGTACTTTACTACTTTAGAATTAGTGGTAATAGCAGCAGTAGCAGTAGTAGTAGCCCCACTAGTAGTAGTTATGTTTTTTAAACCCTAACTATCAGTACACGACAAACAACTACAACAAATTTACTATTATTACTGCTGCCACTGCTCTTGCTGTTACTAATATGGCTGCTGCTACCAGTTCTGTTACTACTAATCTGCCTTTGCTACTGCTGCTGCTGCTACTGCTGCTGCTGCTACTGCTGCTGCTGCGGCTACTACTACTACTACTACTACTACTACTACTACTACTACTACTACTACTACTACTACTACTACTACTACTACTACTACTACTACTACTACTACTACTACGAACACTGATGCTGCTACTACTGCTGCTGCGAATACTACTACTTCTACTACGACTACACCTACCACTACTACTACGACAACCGCAACTACTACTATACTATCACTACTACTACTATTAGTCATGGTAAGGTAAATTAACAAGACAGCCTTACACTTCTCCTTTTATCCGTGAGAAAGACGTCCAGTTGATAGACCGAGATGTAGTCCCGACGCTCCACACAAAAGTATTGGCCTGGCAGGGAAACGTGAAACACTATTGTCATACATCTACATATATTAGATGCTTGACTAATAGACAGTGAGGTTTTTTGTCGCACACCAGCTGATTTATGCTAGATCTTTTAGGGCTGTTTTGTGTTTTTTTTTTCGCGGACTTATCGTTCAGTTCACTATTGTAGTTTTTCCTGAGAACCCTGGATACCGTCGCTGGAGCTCCCGAGTTTGTGCTTTGTTTGACGCTCTCAGAAGTCGGCTAGTCGTTCTGTTGAGTGAGACTAAGCCATTTGGGATACCATCCGATGCAGTGAAGTGATATCATTGACTTTAAATTAAACGTTTCATTAGGAGATTAAGGAAAAAAAAGGGGGGGGGGGGGAGGGGTTTGCGTGGTCTCCAAGCATGGTGTCCGACTCGAGTGCTAGAGGTTCCGGGTTCAATTCCCGATAAGGGCTGGGATCTCTCCATATGGACTTGGACTTCTAGTAATCACCCCTGGTCTCTGGGTAGTGAGATCGGACGCCCGTGTGCATTGTTGCGCACCTAAAAAAAATCCCTTGGCAGTTGAAAATGGTAAAGAGTAGCCTAACAACCCTGCCCGGGCAAAATTTGAAGTTAAAAATCTACCCAAATTATTACAGGATCTTTGCCGGTGCTACAGAGCCAGTGCACTGTGCTGGGCTTCTTCGGCCTCAGATTTGAGTTAGAAGAAGGACTGAGTACTTATGGGTTACTACCCGTGTACCATGATGTCGATCTGTTTTTTTTTAAAACCTCGAAGAGAATTATGAGAATAAGTTCAATGTTGGGCAATGTTTCCTCCGCTGATTTAATGGATTTAATTGTCAACATATCAGCCATATAAAGAAAGAAAGATCGCTGAAAAAAAAAAAAAAAGATCTAAAGAGAATTTTTGTGACAGGTGTATAAGAAACGAAGGCACGTACGAGCTGTATGTCTTACCTGCATCACTGACGTCAATCTTCTCAATGAGAAGCGTGTACTCTTTGGAAATGTGAATCCGTTTGTTCTCATGAACCTCCTGCAGTGTTGAAATCTCGTGAAGCAGGACCTGCCATATCGCCCTCTGGGAATCCTCGCTTTCGTCAGGCCGGTAGCTGGCAGCCGAAGGAAGAGAAGACAACCAGATCAAGTTAGTCCCTATCAAATACAATGCTCTTGGCTGTCATATCGACCCAGCCTTAAATGGGTGTCAGGTAAATTGCTAGGAAGCATCACCCACCGAGTGTCGACTGGTCTCTGAAATAGACGTCTAGCCCTATATGCCCAAAATGTATAAAGGCGTGGAAAAGGGTACCTTGACATACGATGTCAATCGAAGTCTCTGGCTTTGGGTTTACAGCTCGTAACTCCTAATTTACCCGGCCAGATCCGGCTGCAGGCAATTAGTCGACAGACTTCTTTGCATTTTTTGTGATAATGGCATGAAGCGTCGACCGCGAGGAAGCAATGGCAAATTATTGAGCGTGAAATTGTCTGGTCGAACCACAAACAGCTGCTTAGGACACATGATTAGGACTGGTTTACAATATTTTGTAAAGCAGCGGTTTCCCAACCTTTTTCAAACCGCGACCTCGTTTATGGATACAAAGTGGCCCCTCACTTTATACATTAAACAAAAACTCTTAAACAGTATATGAAAACTATCTAGAATTCATTCATTCACTATTCTGCTGTGTATTTATATGTCACAAAGGGCTGCAGCCAATTCCTTCATTCCGTTCTATCATGTGCGATCAATTCAATATCATGGATAGAACAAGTCCAGCATTTTTGGCCTCTCTTATCAACGTTCGTCTTAGGATTTATTTTGGGCGTGCCCGACTCCATGAGACCGTTATTTCCCATTCGAATACCTGCAATGTGCTCTGCTAGGGGTTTCATTCTACTCGCCACATTGCTGTATTGACGTACACATAGTTGTTAGAACACACAAGACGATTAACGTTTAGTTATTGAATTTTATTCCCTGTTACAAACATCTCACTGACTTAGCGCATTCTTTCGTCCTCGTAGTCGCTATGCGTGGCTGATTTCTGTTGACCTGGCCAACTCTCTCACACGGTGATTCGCTCCGCATCTCTCGGATCGAACGTCTGTATCATACTAACGTATTGTACCTGGTATTGTACATGGTGAAACTGGCAATCAGAAAACATTCATCTCTGCTCTCGAACAAGTATACTTGATCATACGTATCCATTCTCATCAGGTGTTCTCTCGCATACGACCGCACACAACCAGGTCCGAACTTCAACTCTCTTACTACCCTCTCTGGGTTCACGTCTTCCGTTCCAGACTCACGCTTTCCTCGTATCCCTTATTCACTCACCACGGGATACTCGAGACCCGCTTATCTCTTCCTCTTGTATCACTGGTCCTCTGACCTTGTCCTCCCCATCGGGAACTCTCTGGGATCTCCTAGGGAATTCACAACATTACAATACCTGTTTGGCGATTCTCTGCTGGTTTCTTCTCATGATGCCTCCAATGTAGCGCTATCTTCTCTGTCTTCTAAATGTTGACACTAGGGGCTTCCAATACATTTTTCCTAATGTCTTCAATCCTTTTGATTTCATCCTATTTTATTTTCATCAATTTTCTCAGACATTTGTTTTAGAAAAAACAAACACATCTCAAATACCTAAGTAGATTATTCTTTGTATAAGAAGCGATGATGTAATTTGTTGTTTTTAAATATTTGTAATTGCTCACCACTGCCTACCCACCCCAAGCACACAGAACACTCTTGACGCACAGAACAAAGACCAATGCTTACCACGCTGAATAAGGCACCAATGCTTACCGCACAGAACATAACACGTCACCAGTAATTACCACACAGAACATGTTTCTAGTAATTACCACACAGAAGATATCACCAGTAATTACCACACAGAAAACGTCACTAGTAATTACCACACAGGACATGTCACTAGTACGTACCACACAGAAAATGTCACCAGTACTTACCATACAGAACATGTCACCAGTAATTACCATACAGAACATGACACCCAGTAATTACCACACAGAACGTGTCACCAGTAATTACCATACAGAACACGTCACCAGTAATTACCACACAGAACATGTCACCAGTAATTAACATACAGAACATGTCAACAGTATTTACCATACAGAACATGTCACCAGTAATTACCATATAGAACATGTCACCAGTACTTACCACACAGTAAATGTCACCAGTACTTACCATACAGAACATGTCACCGGTAATTACCACACAGAAAATGTCACTAGTAATTACCACACAGAAAATGTCACTAGTAATTACCACACAGAAAATGTCACTAGTAATTACCACACAGAAAATGTCACTGGTAATTACCACACAGACCATGTCATCAGTACTTACCACACAGAAAATTTCACCAGTAAGTCCCACACAGAAAATGTCACCAGTAATTACCACACAGAAATGTCACCAGAACTTACCACACAGAAATGTCACCAGAACTTACCACACAGAAAATGTCACCAGAACTTACCACACAGAAAATGTCACTAGTAATTACCACACAGAACATGTCACCAGTAATTACCACACAGAAAATGTCGCCAGTAATTACCACACAGAAATGTCACCAGAACTTACCACACAGAAAATGTCACTAGTAATTACCACACAGAACATGTCACCAGTAATTACCACACAGAAAATGTCACCAGTAATTATCACACAGAACATGTCACCAGTAATTATCACACAGAAAATGTCACCAGTAATTACCACACAGAAAATGTCACCAGTAATTACCACACAGAACATGTCACAAGTAATTACCACACAGAACATGTCACCAGTAATTATCACACAGAACATGTCACAAGTAATTACCACACACAACATGTCACAAGTAATTACCACACAGAAAATGTCACTAGTAATTACCACACAGAACATGTCACCAGTAATTACCACACAGAAAATGTCACCAGTAATTACCACACAGAACATGTCACCAGTAATTACCACACAGAAAATGTCACCAGTAATTACCACACAGAAATGTCACCAGAACTTACCACACAGAAAATGTCACTAGTAATTACCACACAGAACATGTCACCAGTAATTACCACACAGAAAATGTCACCAGTAATTATCACACAGAACATGTCACAAGTAATTACCACACAGAAAATGTCACCAGTAATTACCACACAGAAAATGTCACCAGTACTTACCACACAGAACATGTCACCAGTACTTACCACACAGAAACATGTCACCAGTACTTACCACACAGAACATGTCACTAGTACTTACCACACAGAACATGTCACCAGTACTTACCACACAGAAACATGTCACCAGTACTTACCACACAGAACATGTCACCAGTACTTACCACACAGAACATGTCACCAGTACTTACCACACAGAACATGTCACCAGTACTTACCACACCGGACACAACATCTGCACCGACTCTCCTTCAACAGCTAGATGAGCTTTAATAGGAAACTCTTCCTTGTGAATAGTTTGTATTTTTTCCTGAAGACATTTATAGTATGTCTCAAACATCTTCTTGATTTCCTTCTTGGACGGTTTCCATGTAGATTGGCCTTTCTTGACATGTTCTTTTAAAGATGATTGACGTTGCTGAGAAATCGCCGACCTTTTAACCCTCTTTTCGGGCCCTCCTGGAATGTTCCTGCTGAATGATCCGTATGTGCGTCAGAAGACAGTTCGTTTTGGCGGACTCCGTCAATATATCTTCTTCCTCGTCGTTTGTGTTCTATCGACGTCTCTTCTGCAGTTCTCGTGGAGTCATGGGTATCCTCATAAAAGCCATCGTATCGTTTCTGACGTGAAATGATTGATTCTTTCTTGACAAAGTAAATCGTGTTTTTATTGTATCCGTATTAAATAGTTGTCTCGTGCGGAATTTGATTGCTTTAAGCAAAGAATCAAAATAATTTCCGCTGAAATCAAAAAAATTCCAACTGTTGGAAACCCTTATGCCAGAGGGGCGTTCAGAGATGTTTCTCTGTGTGTCGTTGTTGATCGTCAATGCTGGAATCCCAGTGCTTTGATTGTACAAACGAAGAACAGCAGGAAAAGATACTTGTATATAAAATACTAGAAACCACGTCCATCTGACGCACGTTAACAGAGCCATATAGTTTCTCAATGTTGGATATCGTCAGAAAAATTAAATTTATCAATACTAGAATGAAATATGTCAGTGTATGTATATATAAAGTTGGAATATGTAATTCTTTATATATCTAAGTCTTTACAGATGCGGATTAAAGAATCTGTAGGTTTCAGTTTTATAATTTGAAAGTTACAATTTAATAGCTCCTGTTGAACGGTGGCGTTTTAGTTGAAAACACTGTTCAGTTCTTTTGTCTGTGGCGGTGTTACTTTTATACTATTTACGAAAAAAAAACCAAGACTGCATCCTTAATTCTTTTAGCATGGCATATGATGTTTTTAATAATTCGTTTCTAACTATCTGTACTTAGTCATTAATTAAAATTTAGGACTGTAATAATATTGTAGTCAAAACTTAACAAGAAAAAACATCTCTGGTCGTCATACAGGACATGAAACTAGAATTCCTTGCTTGTTGTCCACTGTATAGCAAAGGGAAGTCATCTAAGACAAATACTTTCAACTTGCGTGTGCGCATTGAGAGTATAATTTGTGCATTTTGTTTAAAAGTATTTGACGTCATTACATAGTGTTCTTGTAATGTTAAATATTGAATTGAGAATCGACATCACAGTACTCGGGACACTCCGATAAGCGCTCCGTCCCTATCTTCAGCAGCAACCGAAGAGTTCATATTGCGGTGGTACCACAAACTGTCTGATTGTATATCCGTCTTGCCATTTCCTTTTATCTTACTTCCCGTACTTTTTAAAGATGAAATTTTTCGTTATTTGATGCCCTACTATGGCTCTTGCCAGGGGCCGCAATATAGCCTGGTCATAAATATGGCCTAAAGGCTGAACGTTTCTGGGACCTCTCCGCGGTGATCCTCATCCACATGGTGACACATCATGTCATCGGGTGTTTTTCGCTTGTGTGATGTCCTATGGGGTCATCGGGTGTTTTTCGCTTATGTTATGTCCTGGTAGGGTATTATTTCCGTTTTTTGAAAGCCCTAGTCAGCTCTTGTCAGGGCCAATTTCCTGGTCATTAGAGCTGAGCGGTTTTGGCCCACGGAATCTTTACAGGTTAGTGTATCGGGTGTTAGCTTGTATGACTGGTTAGAAAGTGAGTCATTGCATTTCCTTTAGAGACGTTGTCATAATAGTTGTTTCGATATGATCCACTCCCTCATTGATATCAATCCTTCCCTCAGTATAAGCGTCGTGTGACTACTAGTGCCAGTTCTTTGTTGATTATTAAGTACTTTTTGTTTGCCTGGTGTGTCTCTCGGTTTTGGCTATGTCGATCTTAACTCCCGAGTCTTTCATTCTAGTGAGCGATGTGGAATCACTGTCTCGAAAGTCCTCCAGCCTTTCCAATTCTCTGAGGGCATTAATAATATCAGCATGATCCATGGGTTGACCTTCAGCAGTGATAGCGGATCCAGTTAACTTATCAGCCCTTTCGTTTCCACCGACGCCCGCGTGCCAAGGAACGAAGATAAAGACGACGTTACGCACAGTGAACTTCTGTAATGGCTCAATCCACTGCCTTCGCACAGAACCTGACTGGATCTATCGGATCATGTTAATGAAATCACTAAGTACACACACACATGCACGGGTATAGTTTTGTGTTCTTAGCCATACGAATGCTGGCGTTACTGCCATCACCTCCATCGTCATGCTGCTCGTTGTCATTAAAGAAGCACTGCTGGCTTCTTTGATTGTTCTGCCCACTGAGCGTGCTGTGGACGCCCAAAGACTTCTTTGATGTCGTTTAGCAGATCCGTCTATGTAGATCAGTACATCTGCTTCGTCTGAGTTATCGCTGATGAGAGCGTTGACCTCTGCATTGACTATAACCAGCTTTCTGCTCCCTGCATCTTCTGTCGAGCGTGACAATAGATCTTCAGGTAACTACTCGCAAGGCCATTCTCTTCCTACCGTAATGATTTATGTGTGCCTCCGCACTATTCTCTCTCTCCAAAAGGACCCTTACAACATCACCACATCAATTCACCACCAAGTCGTGCAGGACCAGCCAACTGTCTGCTTGTTCGTTTCCCACACACCGGCATTTCAAAAGGACACTAACTACCAGTGACTTCTGAAACGATGCTTGCCATTCTTCGTGGAGCATGCCTGTCTCCATCTCTCTCAACATACTGTGTGAGTCAGTCCCAGTTACGAAATATATGTACAGAAGGTTCTCAAGACAGAGGAAGACTGCAGTGACTGCCTTTACCTCCATTCTCAAACTAGACGTTATGGTAACATATACCAGTCGGTTTTTCCCCCTAAGAAAGCGACATCCATTCGCTTTTGCTATCAGCCATTCTGCATTTCATCTGCATGTCAACACAAAGCGATCTGTATAGATAATCACATCTCCTGGGCGGGAATTTTCATGAAACATTTATTGAACTTATGATTTTGTAGCACCCGCTGGCTATTCCATGCACTCACTGCCAAATGTGATTACAACCCTACACAAGACATTAAGAGCTGATCAGAACCTTCGCTTACAACCCAATGAAACGGAATCACTAGGTGTAAGGACAGTCTATTCTATTGCACTATCCACAGTCGCAGAAAGACTTCACTATGCCCGTCATGTCATAAAGTAGCAATATCCCTGAGGAGCGGCAGCTGCAGCCAACAATATAGTATTTTTATTCATTGTCCCTTTAAAAAAAGTTTATTCTGTGCATATTTGAACTGTTACATGTTTTATGGCTGAAAGCTCTTATTCTTCCTCCTTCTTTCCCCCAATCTCTCATTATATATATATATATATACCCACACACACACACACACACACACACAGACACATATATGTGTCTATGTATAACACACCAACAACAAGAATGTCATCGCCAACAACAATAACAATACAGTCACCAAATACAATCTACCCTCATCGACAGAATTAAATAAATACAAATATTGCCTCGACTACCATGAACAACAAGCACAATAATAACAACAGCAGTAACTCTAGTAAAGAGCTAATTTATTGATGATTACATCAAATGCACGCAAAGTATGTAAACACCTAAGATACGAGAGGCAACCCTAGAAATACTCTCGGTCTGTGCATTATAACGTGAGGCGGTACATTACTTTCTATCTATCTATCTATCTATCTATCTATCTATCTATCTATCTATCTATCTATCTATCTATCTATCTATCTATCTATCTATCTATCTATCTATCTATCTATCTATCTATCTATCTATCTATCTATATCTATCTATCTATCTATCTATCTATCTATCTATCTATCTATCTATCTATCTATCTATCTATCTATCTATCTATCTATCTATCTATCTATCTATCTATCTATCTATCTATCTATCTATCTATCTATCTATCTATCTATCTATCTATCTATCTATCTATCTATCTATCTATCTATCTCTATCTATCTATCTATCTATCTATCTATCTATCTATCTATCTATCTATCTATCTATCTATCTATCTATCTATCTATCTATCTATCTATCTATCTATCTATCTATCTATCTATCTATCTATCTATCTATCTATCTATCTATCTATCTATCTATCTATCTATCTATCTATCTATCTATCTATCTATCTATCTATATCTATCTATCTATCTATCTGTCTATCTGTCTATCTGTCTATCTATCTGTCTGTCTGTCTGTCTGTCTGTCTATCTATCTGTCTGTCTGTCTGTCTGTCTGTATCATCTATCTGTCTGTCTGTCTGTCTGTCTGTCTGTCTGTCTGTCTGTCTGTCTGTCTGTCTGTCTGTCTGTCTGTCTGTCTGTCTGTCTGTCTGTCTGTCTGTCTGTCTGTCTGTCTGTCTGTCTGTCTGTCTGTCTGTCTGTCTGTCTGTCTGTCTCAAGATTTTAACTTTTCTCTGCACTGTCTCTGATCTGTCTGTTTTGTCTGTCTCTGTCTCTCTGTCTCAAGATTTTAACTTTTCTCACTTTTCTCTCTTTGATGTTCTTTTTTTTTCTCTCTCGTTAAACCATCCCCCCCCCCCCCCCCCCCCCCCCCCCCCCCACACTTCAGCTGTTCAAGGCTTTCTCTTTACTCATGCTTTCTTTTGATCTTAAACGCTCTTTCATTTGTTCTTCTTTCCTTAACCACCTCTCCCCCCCCCCCTCTCTCTCTCTCTCTCTCTCTCTCTCTCTCTCTCTCTCTTGACAGCACAATCTTCATCTGCTCTTTTGAATCACTCTATCTTTCTCTTTATATCTTTCGCTATCTCTGTCTCTTTTTATATTCTTCTTCCTTCTTTTGTCACTCGCCACCCGCTCTCACCACTAAATAATTTCAACGTCTACTGCCTATCAAGTGCACTTGTATTACGAATGACCAGATCAATCAAGCATTTTCTGTGTAAATGGTATGTTATAGTTGTCTCCCTCCCCGATTG